TCCTTTGCCTCCACAGGTCCAGGCAGCTGGCATGTGGTGTTGAGGAGCCCAGAGGGGTCTCGTGGGACCTGGTGGCCGAGGTTGGGCCCGCACACTTGGAGGGGGCTGCTACAGGGTAAGCCCTGCCCGGCCGAAGCTCCCACCCGAGCGGAGGGGAGTCTGTGCGCTTGCGCATCCCGGCGCCTCTCCTGGGCTCCCCTCGAGACCCGGCCGGCGGCCTGCCCTTTCCGGGAAAAGCAGACCCTCCCCTCACCGCTGGCCGGGCCGGCGACCCTCGGCTGCGGTTGGTAAGGGTTAGTCCCGGCGGGAAAGACGAGGAAGCGATGAGCCTGGCCCCGGCCAGAGAGGGAGGCCCCAACGCCGGAGGCGGGCGAGTCAGCGGGGAGCTCGTGCCGCTCGCCGTCCGCCTGCGCGGCCTTCGGAGGCCGCGGTCCGAAACCGTCCGGCGCCGGAGCCCGCGCTCGGCCAGCCGCGCAGCCCCACGGGAGGCGCGCGCGGTGCGTGCTGGGAGTTGTAGTGCTGCCGCCCCGCGGAGGCAGCCCCGGCAGAAAGCGCCTCCCAGAGACCCTCCGTAGTCAGCCTGTCCTTTTTGTGCTCACCGTAGAGCGCCAGTGCACAAACCGCAGTCTGACTGCATGCAGCGTGGCCCTGTGCTGTGCAGCCTGCACTGCTCAACGGTACCTGCCCAATCCTTTCAACAAATGGAGCTAGGAGAATTGGATATCCATATGCAAAAAACCCAACAAAAATACTGCGACCCTTACCATACATGAAATCAACTCAAAATGGATAAGTTGAACTTCATTAAAATTAAAAGCTCTTGTGCTACGAAGACGCGATCAAGAAAACGCAAAGAGGGGCCGGCCCGGTGGCGCAGCGGTTAAGTGCGCACGTTCGGCTTCCGGCCGGGGTCCGCGGGTGCGGATCCCGGGTGCGGATCCAGCATGGCTCAGAAGGCCATGCTGCGGTAGGTGTCCCACATATAAAAGTAGAGGAAGATGGCCACGAATGTTAGTTCAGGGCCAGTCTTCCTCAGCAAAAAGAGGAGGATTGCCGGCAGATGTTAGCTCAGGGCTAATCTTCCTCCAAAAAAAAAAACGCAAAGAAAAGTCTCAAAGTAGGAGGAGAAATCTGCAAATCATATATCTCATAATGGACTTGTATCCACAATATATAACTCTCAAAGCTCAATAATAAAAACATTTTTAAAACCATTTTAAGACAGGCAGAAAAATATGAATAGACATTTTACCAAAATAGATACATGAATGGCTAAGAAGCACACAAAAAGATGCTCAGCATCATTAGCCATTAGGGAAATGCAAATTAAAACCATGAGATACCACCGTGCACACACATATAGAATGATTACAATAAAAAATAAAGATAATCCCAAATGTTGGTGAGGATGTGGAGAAACTGGAACTCTCATAAATTGCTGGTGGAAATATAAAATAGTACAGTTACTTTGGAAAACCGTTTGGCAGTTTCTTAAAAAATTAATCATAACCTTACCATAGGACCCAGCAATTCCACTCCAAGGAATCCTCCCAAGAGAAATGAAAACAGATGTCTACACCAACACTTGTATGCAAATGTTCATAGCAGCTACAAAAACATAATGTCCATCAGTTGACCATAGCAATACAATGGAATATGACTCAGCAAAAAAAAAGGGGCAAAAAAATAAAAAATGAATAAAGGCTTTTTAAACAACAAAAATCAAAAGGGGCTTAAAGTGACACATACATCAACATAGATGAACCTCAAAGACATTATTCTAAGTCAAAGAAGCTAGACCAAAAGACCATATATTCCATGATTCCAATTATATGAAATATTCAGAAAAGACAAATCTATAAAAACAGAACACAGATCAGTGGCCTGGAGTGAGATTGGGAATTGATTATAAACAAAGTGTAGGGAATTTGTGGGAGTGATGAAAATTTTCTAAAACTAAATTGTGGCACTTGACAATAGTTTGTTACATAGGATGCTGAAAGCACAAGCAACAAAAGAAAAAATAGGTTGAATTGGACTTCATGAAAATTTTAAAATTTTGTGCTTTAAAGGACACTATCAACAAAAGGAAAAGACAACCCAAAGAATGGATAAAATACTTGCAAATCTAATCTGATAAGAGAATTTATATCTAGACTATAAACAATCCTTATGTGGAAATTAATAAAAGAAACCTTAGTTAAATTGGAGTCAGGAAGGCCTGTAGGGGGAGCTCTCATGCCCTATCACACATGGTCAATTATAGCAAACAGGAAGAGATGTCAGCTTGCACCTTGGACAGGAAGCAAAACTACTTTACTACAGAGGATTTCTCTCCCCATCCCCTTAACACCCTCCCGAATGGACTTTCCTTTAGGACAGTGCCTTCCTACTTCCCCTTTTTCTCTATAAAAGCAGCTCCCCACCTTTGTTTTCCAGATTTGCCTATGATTTGCCACAGCATGCACATGCCAAATTACAATTCTTTTGGCTATTCCCAAATAAACTCATTTTGAGGGTAAAATGGGTGAATTCTTTTTTTTTTTTAGGAAGATTAGCCCTGAGCTAACATCCGCTACCAATCCTCCTCTTTGCTGAGGAAGACTGGCCCTGAGCTAACATCTGTGCCCATCTTCCTCTACCTGATATGTGGGACGCCTACCACAGCATGGCTTGCCAAGCAGTGCCATATCCTGACCCCGGATCCGAACCAGTGAACCCTGGGCTGCCCAAGCAAACTGCACACTTAACCACTGCGCCATCCAGCTGGCCCTGAATCTGCTTTTTAAGTTGATACTTGTAACTCAAAAAGACAACCCAATTAAAAAACAAAGGATCTGAATGGACAGTTCTCCAATAAGCACAAAATGCTCAACATCATTAGTCATCAAGGACATACAGGGGGCCGGCCTGGTGGCATAATGGTTGAGTTCATGTCCTCTGCTTCAGCAGCCTTGGGGGGGCTTTGTGGGTTCGGATCCCAGGAGAAGACCTACACATTGCTCATGAGCCACGCTGCGGCAGGAGTCTCACAAACAAAATAGAGGAAGACTGGCACAGATGTTAGCTCAGGGCCAGTCTTCTTCCCCCAAAAAATAAATAAATAAAAAATAAAAATAATAAAAATAAAAAAAAAGACACGCAAACCCAAACCACCATGAGATACTACTTCACACCCACTAAGATGGTGAGGATCCAAGGTAGATAATAGTAAGTATTGGCATGGATGTGCAGAAATTGGCACCCTCATACACTGCTGATGGGAATGTAAAATGGTACAGCAGCTTTGGGAAAGAGACACACCGTTCCTCAAAAAGTTAAACATAGATTTACCATATGACCTAGCAATTCCCCTATATTTACCACTTGGTATAAACCCAAGAGAAATGAAAACATATGTCCAAGTAAAACTTGTATATGGATGTTCATAGCAGCATTATTCATAATAACAAAAAGGTAAAAACAACCCAAATGTCCACCAGTGGATGAATGGATAAACAAAATATGATATATCCATGAAATGGAATATTATTTGGCTATAAAAAGAAATGAAGTACTGATACATGGTGCAACATGGATGAAGATTGAAAACATTAGGCCAATGAAAGAAGCCAAATAGAAAAGGCCACATATTGTATGATTCCATTTCTATGAAATGTCCAGAATATGCAAATATAGTCAGAAAGTAGCTTAGCGGTTGCCTAGGGCTAGCGGTGGAGGTGGGGAGGGTTGGAGGGTGAGAGGGAAGAGTATCGAGTTTCTTTTTGGGTTGATGAAAATGTTCTAAGATTGTTTGTGGTGGTGGTTTACAACCGTGAATAGACTAAAAATCATTTAATTCTACACCTTAAATGGGTGAATTTTATGGTAAATTGTACCTCAAAAAAGCTCTTTAAAAAGAAACAATAAGTTAGTGTGGAATGGGCTCTGACGTCAAGTAAAAGGCAGGGATAAGAATTTTTAATAGTGTAATGTATCTTTCCCTAAAAAGATCTTGTAGGTAGATCAGGAGAAAAGGAAACAGTGGTTGGCAGATCAGCTGCTTATCCTGAGGCTGAGGGGAACGGGGCTCCCTGAAAAAAAGTGCGGGGGGAACTAAACAAGGATAGGGTAAGGGAATGGGGTCTGAAATCTTTCCCATGGGTGCTAGGGATGGAGAAAGGGTCTTTATTTCTTCTCACAAAGGCACTGTCTATTCACTAAATGATGCTTGGGATCTGTGTCCACCAGACTGAGGAGGGGGGAAGGAGATTTTTTTCCTAATTAATTTTACAGTCTAGCTGGGGCCTAACCTCTCCCCTTGCATTATTAAACCCATTCCTGCCAGAGTTACCAGTGTCCTATCCTCTAGTTGTCTGAAACAGTATATACACTTTTCATCATTTATTTGACCTCTGTAGCACTGGAGACTGTTGGCCATTGATAATTAGGACTCCTCCTTTAGGCCCCACAGCAGTGAACACCTTTACCTCACCATCACTGCTACTCAGCTTCTCTTCTTCTTCCTGTCAAGCAGAAGTCAGTCCTGACTCACAATTTAACACCTGTTCTTCTCTCTCTCAGTGGTCTCATCTCCTCCTGTCCTGGGCTCTCAAACCTCAAACCCCAGTCCTGATCCTTCTCCTCAGAGCCTCTTCTCCACTCTTTTGATGGACATTTCCACAAAGATTTCATGCCAGTACTTCAACATGACACAGGAGTAGCAAGCTAAATGGAGGGCACAGGACACATGCATGAGGAGCATTAGATTCAAACAGTTTTGGCTTCAAGTCAAGAATAATCCATGGGACAAGATGGAATGCTGTGTAAGATGGGCAAGTAGGTCTGATAAAAGGGAGCACAGGTTGGGAAACTAGGGAGGCCTCCACAGAAATGAAGGGCAAAGGGTGTCCTGGAGTGAAACAACACAGTTAAGGAGAAGACACAGCACTACTGGGGCTTTAGAGAGTAAAAGTCTGTGTGCTCCATGATGCCTGGGCTTATCTTTTCAGCCATCTCTGTTATCAGCCAAAGCAGAAAAATTTAATAAAATATGTTGCATGGCAAAGGAAAACAGAAGGTGGGATAATAGGAGTAATTTGGGAAGAGGTGGAGGAATGAATTCAGACAACTCCAACCACGTCTCAAAGGTTCTCAGGTGCAGCCAGGTCTGGATAAAATGGCTGATCCCATCTGTGCTTGGTGAGAGGCGAGACGCCCTCTCCCTAGCCCCTATATGATGTAGGGACTCCCCCACATCTCAGACACACATATTTACATTATTATTTTATTCCACTTTGGAGACCACCCCCAAGTCCCTCAGATGCATCCAAAACAGGAATTAGGGATCAGCCCCACTACAATTTTGAACTATAAAATAATGAACTCCCAAATGCCAGTAACTCTTAGCTGCATGGTGGTAAGAGGTGTGCCTGAGCCTCTCTTACAGATGATCCAGCACCCACAGAGGCCAGGCTAGACTGTTCTCCAGCTCTCTCCATGGCCAGGAGCCAGCACCCACAGCCTAGGCTACCTCTGCTGGGCCAGAACTAGCTGCCTGAACCAGGAGTTCACAGCACCATCCACTCGCATCACCAAAGCTATGCCCAGGAAAAGTCCCACGCTGCTCACAATGAAGCCCACGGCCTCAAAAATGAACCTGGAAGGAAAGGTGGAATATCAGCAGACACTGAGAGTAGGTCTAGAGCCTTCCCCTGCTGAGGCAAAACCTTGACCACCCTGGATATTCATTCTTTGCTCCAAGCTTCACCCTCCCCAACACCCCTACTTCTCAAGCAAATCTACTCACTTGGGGGCAAATACCTTCCAGACCATGAGATGCCTGCGGAGGACGGAGGCTGCCAAAGCACAGGCCAGAATCTAAAGGAGGAGAGGAGGGGTCAAGTTACTTGCGAAGGGGAGGAGGAAACAGGTCAAGGAGAGACTTGCTGTAGGCCACTGTGAAGAACAGGACAAGTAGGAAAGTATGGCGTGTCGGTAGAAAAAAACTTGGGCTAGGAGTTAGGAGACCTAATTCTTTCCCTGGCCCCACCATGACTCACTGTGTGACCTTGGGCAAGCACCTTCCATCTCTGCCACTAACACTCAGGCTCTGCCTTCCAGGATGGAGGAAGATGTCAGAGTCACACCTTCTGCCTCTGAAGGATAGGAAGCAGATCCATGACCACAGCTTGGAAAAGAATCCTGACCATCACCTCAGCTTTTCCAGTCTGTCCACTAAGGCAGTAATCCCCAAATGCAACCAGCAGGGTCCAGATCTAGCTTATAGAGAGGAACCAATCCGAGACTAGGATTAAGGACACGCAGGTTCCAGTCTCAATACTGCCATGTGAGGCCACTGGCCTTGCACAACCACTTCACTTATCTTTACCTCAGTCAAGGCTCTCTCCCAGGGTTTTGGCAAAGTATGAAAGAAAGAATGTGACGTATACGCGTGAGAAAAGGTCACTAACTTCATGATCACTCCCCTGCACCCACCTGAATACCAAGGACAAAGAGGTACTTGAGGCCCAGCTGCAGCAGCGCTGCATTGAAGTGGTGAGGTACATCCCGGAGCCTCATCTCCATCAGCGGCTCCTCCTCCTCCTCAGCTTCATTCCCTGGGGGCTGCCGCCTCTTCTGGGGCCCTTGACTCTCACAAAGGAAGGGCCAGAGCAGGAGCAATGGGCAACCTACTACCTCAGAGGAAGACAAGGCTAGAATCAATGGGGAACCCAGGGGCCAGGCCACTCTGGCCCCCAACCACCCTAGTTGGCTCAGCCTCTAATCAGTGTAAGGCAAGGGGTGCCAAAGATCCAACAAAGTCACATCTCCACTCAAATCCAGGGGTTTCCTTTCCTTCCACAGAGCCAGAGGGAATAATAGAAGCAAGGGAGGAATCAGGAAGTACCTGCGAAGAGGAGATGGGAGGCAAAGGTGTTGGCTCCCACCAGTAAAGCAGGCAGCCAGGTAGAGGAGCCATGACCTTCTGGGAATCCAACAAAGGCTGCATGCCAATGGATAGCTGGAAAGACAGGCTGGTGGCCCGTGGAGTAGAAGGTCTGTGTGGCCATGAGGGCCCAAGCAGAGACTGCCTGCCATGGCACAGTAAAAGGACCTGTGGGAAGAGATACGCCTCTTTATGGTCACATCCCATTTCCTAATTCATAGCCTTCTGCCCTATGATCATAAACTCCTACCACTTCAGTGCTAATTCTCATACACACACACACACACACACACACACGCCCATCATCCAAACCTCTTTATAGCCAACACTCTGTATTCTAATTCCTTCTGTGACACAAAGTGCCATTACTCTAATCTGAACCCCATTGTGGTCAATCTCTTTCTCTCTCTCATACGCACAAAGCTCACTAGGACATTATATACTCAATTCACCACTCCCATCACTGGAAAATCAGGAAATGCGCTCATGAGGATGTAGCATTTCCATAAGAAATGAGTCTTGGAGTACTCTGTCTCCCTCCTCCACGAACCCCGCTGGCCCTGAGAGTCAATGGGAGGCATAAGTTAGCTTGGCTATCGCAGATAAGAGAGAGGAGATCAAGAAGACCCTCCAAACTGTGTGGGGCATGAAATCCTGTGTCAAGGCGAAGAACCTGAGGAGCAACACCTCCCTGAAAACAAGAGGGGCCGAACTCACATCACTACTGTCTTTGGAGGAATCAGGGCTGAGATAGGTATTTACCAGGGGTGGTGATGGGTATCCCAGCAGCAAGCAGATGCAGGAGAAGGAAGCTCTGAAGAAACAGAAGCAGGAACACAAGGCTAATGCGCTCTGCATGCAACAGCAGAAGTGGGAAGGCCAAGAGGGTGAGGGCTGTGACCACAGCAGCTGAGTAGACACTCCCCAACTGACGGGCAGCCACAGTCAGGGGCCTCTGAGGTTTGGCCCTCTCTAGCCGGCCCCGGAATTCCTCCTGCATATGTCGGTAGATTTGAGGAACCACATAATCCAGGTCAGCCTGAGAAGTAGGGGGGCCTGAGAAGGGAGCGAGGACAGTCCTGCTCTTTGGAGCACCCGTTGCAGCCTTCACCAGCACCGTCACAGGCCTCCAGAGCAGCAGCATGAGCCCTGAAGCAGCCAACCCTGCCACAGCCCTAGGCAGCACTACTGATGCCCCAGCGACCAGGGCCCGGAGACGTGGGGGTGCTTCATCTGCCCCAGATGCCAATGCCCAGTAGGCAGCAGTGCCCAGTACCATTACGGGCAGCCCCCAGCGCACAAAGAGTACAGGGGGCTCAGGGCTCTTGAGATCACCATAGCGACGAAGCCATAGGCGCACAGCAGCTAACAGAGCCACCAGCGCCCCCACGCAAGCTCCATACCACAAATTCTTGGCTCGACCACCCACCATGGAGGCCAGAGGACTCAGCCAGGGAGAGGAGCGGCAAGCAGGTGTCTCTTCAGGGCAGCGATGAAAAAGCCCAGCTAGCCTTATACATAAAAGTAACCCAACTCCGAGCCCCAGGGCCTGCACACCATTGTGCCGTGGGGGGCCTGTGGGGGCTGAAAAGCCAAGGCGAGGTATTGTGAGTAGCTTAGGTGGCAGCAGCCTGCCCTCCCAGTGAAGCCGGACAACCAGGAGCAAGATGAGTGAGCCCAAAAGGAAGGGGGTGGCCCTGGCCTCAGCAACAACAAAACTATCAGAGAAGAAAGCAGCAAAGCGAATGAGCAAGAGTAACAGGACAGGCCCAGGGATGGGAAGCAGGGCTGCCAGGGGCCTCTTGGACCCCCAGTCAGCCCAGGCTTTCCACAGAAAAGGCAGAAGTGAGCCCACTGCAGCCATGGCCCCTAGAATCACTGGATCCAGCTTCAGCTCAGTAGTTGCCAGGAGTCCAGCACACACTATGGCCCCAGCCAGGCCCCAGGCCATGGGGATCAGGAGGAGACGATGGAAGCAGAAGCCTGGGGATGTCGCCCACTGGGATACCAGCAGGCAGAGAAAGCAGGCAGCAGCCAAGATAGCAGCACCCACTGCCATGCGGATCAGAGAGAAACGAGCCCAAGACTCAAGGCACATGGCCTGAACTCCCCGCAGGAACTGCTGCAGCTCAGGAATCACAGTCTGCAGTGCTGCCTCAGCCCTCTGCGGGCTTTGCAGAAGCCGCTGGTAGTCAGCAGAGGCCTTGGAGAAGAGGTTCTGCAGCCGATGAAGCTCTTTAACTTGGAGGTCCTGAGCAGCAGCTGAGTAGGTGTAAAGAAATCGGGACACCTGGCAGAATAGGTCAGAGGCCAAGGGGAACAGGTCAGAAATATAAATTGGGACTGAGGTAAGGATAGGTATTACCAAAGGGAAAACCTGGAAATCAGGGACCCAAACTCTGTCCAGGACAGTGGGGAAGGGAAGGGTAAGGGCCATGGAAGGTGGGATTAAGACTGAACAAAGGATGATGGAGCGGGTAATTGTGCTTCTCCCATGCCCACCCTAGCTGTCACCTGGAAGCTCAGCCCACTACCTACCTGCTGGGCATTGAGATGGAGAGCTGAGGCTTGGGCCAAAGCAGAGAAGTGAGGCTGGGAGTCTTTGACTTCTGAGAACAGCTCAGCTATCACCTCCCCAATGTTCCCAAATGGGATGGGGAGGCCCAGCAGCAGGGCCAGTGTAGGCACAAGGCTGATTTGAGGAATTACCTCTGGCTCCTAGAGGACAAGAACGGGTCAATAGTTTGCCACAGAGCCGAAGTCAGTGTTTAGGACAGAAGATATAGGGGTCCAGGTAGGAAATGAGAGTGAGGATGCCCAGGGTCATGAATTTGGGGGCCTAAAATGGAGCGATCCACAAGGAAGCTGTGATTAGGATGGGGCTTGAATACCAGGCGGGCATATAAAGCACACCTGAGGCCTCACCTCTGGTGGCGCGCTGGGGAAGAGGGCTGCGGGACTGTACAGAAAAAGTGCAGCCGATATCTCCAGTTCACTGTCCCCTCCATGGTCCCCACTCATGGTCATCCCATGGTCTCCAATCACCACCAGCAGTGTGTCATTCTCCAGACGCTCCACAAGTTCCCTGGGGGCCAAGAAACATGTCAGGGGGTAGGGATGGATAAAGATTTTCTCAGGGGCCCATTAACTCTCAGCCATAACTTCTAAAGGGCCTAGACCTTTAGCAGAGACATCTCTTCAGTCATAACCCTAGCGCCCAAAGCCACATGCTAAGTCACTCAAGATGGATGAGACCCCTAGCTTCAGAAAAAAGGCCTAGAGAAGATAGAATTCAGGCAAGAAAGAGGCTCCAAGATAAGGACTTCTTCTCTTAGGATCATACATCCTGAGATTCTTAGACACAAACCCACTCCGCCAGCCAATATCCCACACTCACTGGATCACCTGGTCCATTTGACTAAGTTTCTTGGCCATTTCAGGGTGGTAAGGGCCATGTTTGTGGCCACAGTGATCCACACCCAGGAAGTGAGCGATCAGCACGTCCCATTCACCACTGTCCACTGTGAAGGGAGAACACTGAGCACAGGACTAAGGCCCACTCCTCAACCCCAGCCAGGTCTGATGCTCCTGTGTCAGGGACCAACCCCAGGTCATTGCACCCATGGGAGGCTCAGAATTTGCGGACTGAAGTAGCCCTCCCCAGCTCCCAGTCTTCGTCAGGCCTGCCTCTGGCCCCATGCTCACTGGTTGGGTAGAGGTGTTCCAGGATGCCATTGTCCACTGTGTGCAGGTCTCTGACATTAAAGGATGGGAAAAAGAAAGCTTGGGAGAAAGCTCCAGGAAAAAGATCTTTCCAGGTATCATCTCCCATGAAGACCACACGCCTTCCTGCAGGGAAATGAGAGTGGGTCACAGCCTGAGCAGGAGTCGGGGCAGGGGGATAGAGGAGGCCCTTTAAAGACCTATCAGAAATTCCAACCATGCACTCTAAGGCACAGCAATTCCATCCAGCAACTCTTTATCCTGCAGGGCCTAAAATTTTATGCCAGGAAGCTTTCCCTGATAACTGTGCTCCACCCAGACCTCTCCTTGTTCCTACAAAAGGCTCTGCCAGCTCTCAGTCCCTGGCTATCTGCACTGCTCTGTTTTTCCTAGGTGTTATCAGTGAGTGGACAAGGTCTGAACCCTCTGCTCTCTCCTAACTTGTGAGGGCCCCAGACCCACATCTTCTCCTCTTTCTCTCTCCCTTCCCCCTTTACTGAGAGCTCCCCAAAAGGAAAACCATCAGCCCATGCAGATTAAACTCCACAAGGACAAAGCCAGACCTGCACCCCTGCATGCAGCACCCTGCTCTCTTTCTCCTCCCCTGTCCTCTCACAGCATAGCCAAGCATGCAGCTGGGCACTCAGAGTTCTGGCTCTCTGACTTCTAAAGAAGAAATTTGCCAAGGTACTCCTGGCCTCCAAAGAGGCCCAGACAAACCTGCATTGGTGAGCTGCTTAATGAGATTGTCTTCCACTATGGCATAGCTGGCAAAGTTACTGCCAGCATCGATAAAGGTAGGCAGTGAGCCTGTGGTGAGGGCCTTGAGGCGCTGCATGGTGGTGGTGGGTGGGTGAGCCTTTGACTGGTAGAGCCTGGCATGGTGGGGCTGAATCTCCAGGATCCTCTGCAAGGATCCCAGTTTGCCCAGGAAGGGTAGGGAGACAGGAGGCTCCCCAGGAACGTGTGAGCGCTGGGGCTGGGCGAAGTCAAATCGCAGAGCATCTATGAGCACCAACACAACTCGAGAGAAGCGAGAAGCCATCCAGCAGGCCCCAGGCTCCCCTCGGCTCCCCCATGGCAGGGACCCAGGGCCTGGGGGCTCTCGGCAGCTGCTATGGTTGTTGAGCTCCAAACGGGTGAGCAGGAAGCCACCGGTGAAGAGGGCAATGCCTGCGTAGAAGAGGAAGCTGACCCAGGCCAGGAAGAGCAGCACCGAGATCTTCTGCATCCTGGTGGTGGCGAGGGAGGGAATTCATCACTGTGGAGCAAAGAACCAGTGGATATTCTGGTCCCTCAATACAAAGCCCAGCTAGAATCACTTCTTGTTGGAAGCCTTGCTAAAGATAAACAGACCCATAGCCAACCCAATGCAACTTTCCTCTCTACCAGTTATACCAGTGTTAGGTGAGGTCCGCAGACTATGGGCATCAACCTGGAGCGGTTGTTAAAAATACTGATTAGCAGGCCCCACCCCAGACCCACTGAATCAGGATCTTGGGGGCGGGGCACAGGAATTTGCACAAGTACTCCGGAACATCCTAACGACGAAAACACAGGCCAGGAGGGAAACTTATTCCACGTGGCAGAGTGCTCCCACAGCCCGCTTCTGCGCCCCTCTCCGCGCCAATCTCAACACCCCTGGGGCGGCCCGGGCTCGCGGCCGAGGGAGAACCCGGGAACGCGACGGCGCCGCCGGGAGGGACGGAGGGACGAGGGGAGGAGTCACGCTCCGCGTCCAGACGGCCGGCGAGCCAAAGCCGCGCGCAGAGGTGCGGCGTCTCGGGTCGTTGGGCCTCGCCGGGCCCCAGACGTCCTCCGGCGGCTACCCGCCTCGGCCCGAGCCCCCGGCCCCCGGTCCGGGCACGCTGGGCTGCGAGCTGAGGGCTCCCTCACCGCGCGGAGAGAGGGGCGTGCGAGGGGCCCGGAGCCCAGCTCACCTTGAACGGCGCCCGGAAGTGCGGCGGCGGCCCAGCGGCCTGGCGGCGGCGCGCGCGAAACAGCGGCCCCCGGGCGGACGCCACCTGCCGGCACCGCGAGGAGGAGCGGGAGGAGCGCAGGGCCGGCCGTGGGGAGGAGGGGGAGGAGCAGGAGGAGCGCAGGGCCGGCCCCGGGGAGGAGAGGGAGGAGCGCGGGGCCCGCCGAGGAGCTTGAGGGAGGGTTACAGCACCTCGGGAGCAGAATGCCTGCAAGGGCTAAGCGGGAAGAGTTCAGAGAACCCTATCCATTCTTGGTTAAGACAAAAAACTAGGCCTCTGGAATAAAATTTAGCTTGAATCCTACCTCTGCCACTCACTGTCGTCACTGGCATTACCTCGTCTAAAACAGGGATAAATACTTATTTTCTCCCTCTTGTTTAGCTGACTCCAAATGACAGATTTTATTATTCCTCCTCTCCAGTTCTTTCACTGACTCTTACAACTCAATAATAACAAAATAAGTAATCCAGTTTAAAAATGGGCAAAGGGTCTGAAGAGACATTTCTCCAAAGAAGATATATAAATCACCAATAAACACGTGAAAAGATACTCAGCATCATTAGCCATCAGGGAAGTGCTGGCGATACCACTTCAAACCCACTAGATGGCTATATCAAAAAGATGAATAAGAAATACTGGTGTGGATGTGAAGAAATTTGAATTTTCATACACTGCTGTTGGGATTGTAAAATGGTGCAGCAGCTCTGGAAAACAGTTTGGCAGTTCAAAACGTTAAACATAGAGTTACCATATGACCCAGCAATTCCATTCCTGGGTATATACCCAAGAGAACTGAAAACATGTGTACACAAAAACTTGCACATGAAGGTTCATAGTAGCATTATCCATAGTAGCCAAAAGGTGGCAACAACCCAAATGGCCTTCACTGATGAATAAACAAAATATAGAATATCTATACAATAGAATACTGTTCAGCCATAAGGAGGAAAGCAGCACTGCTATATGCTACTACATGCACGAACCTTAAAAACATGCTGAGTGCAAGAAGCTGAGCACAAAATAGCACATATCCTATTATTCATTTATATGAATATGTAAATCTACAGAGACAAAAAAATGAGTTAGTGGTTGCCTAGGGCTCGGGGGCAGGGGAGGGACTTAATGGGTGCTGGGTTTTGTGGCCCGGTGGGGATAGGGGAGCGGTGATGAAAATGGCCTAAAATCGTGATGTTCAACAACTCTGTAAATATACTACCAATTAGTGAGTTTACATTTTAAATGGGTGAGTTGTATTGTCTGTAAATTATTTCTCAATAAAGCTACTATTGAAAGCAAACGAAAAAACCTCTCCGCTGGTTTCTCATCTCAGAGCAAAGCCCAAGTTCTTCCAGTGGCCCTACATGGCCCTACAAGTCTACATACCAGCTTCCTGCTTCCCTCTCTGATTCATCTAGCCGCCACTTCTTTGTTTCCATAACTCTGTTCCATCTACTTGTAGCTCCTTTGCTCTTCCAATTATAAGACCTCAGGGACTTTGCATTTGCAATCTTCTGTCAGCTTTACTCCCAGACGCCCAAATGGGTCTTCCCCTCATTTCCATAGCTAAGCCTAAATGTAACATCAGTGAGGTCTCCTGGAACCCTCTACTTAATACTATGGCCTCCTACCCCCAAATTCCCCATCTCCCTTCCATTCTTTAATTTCCACTATAGCACAACTCATGAGCATCTGAAATACTATACATCTTATTAATGGTTTGTCCCTTCCAAGTAGAATGTAAGCTCACTGAGAGCAGGGAATATTGTTTTCATTACTATATCCTCAGTTCCTGGCATATAGTTGGGGCTCAATAAAGTTATCAAGTAGATAAATGAATAAATTCTAATTCAGAAATATGTCAAAATGTCACCCTTCCACATCCATCCTGATGGCCCCTTAGCTCAGTTCAGGCCTCATCACCCTCTCCAGGATCACTGAGGCAGCCTGCTTACTGTCCTTGCAGCCCTTCATCTCTCCTTCAAATCCCCTATACACATTGCAGCAGGACAGCCCCATCTAAAACACTAATGTGATTACCTTAATCTTCTTAAAATTCTTCATGGGGAAGGGGAGAAACCCTTCATGGGTCCCCTGACCCTAAGGATAAAGTCCATCTCTTCAGGACTCTATCCTCCTGTGACTTGGCTCTTGCCATATGGTCCCATGCCCCAAAACCCTACTCTTCAGCCACAGCAAACAATTCTGAATGTTCCAACTTCTCCAGAGCAATGGGCCTTTGAATATTCTAGTCCCAAACCCTAGCCTGGTGAAGGCGTTCATTTTTCCAGCCTCAGCTCCATAGCAGAGTTGGCAAATTTGCTGCCCACAAGCTGACATGTTCCTCCCCACAGGATCCCTCAGCCAGAACTTTCCTACATTACAGCACTTATCATTTTCTATCTGTCTGCTTCGTTGCCTGTCTCCCCTCTCCAACCTGGTATTTTGTGGAAGCAAGGACCAGTGGGTCTCAGTTACTTTTATAACCCATGTATAGCACTACACTTGGCTCATCATATGTTTTTAATTTTTTTTGAGGAAGATTAGCCCTGAGCTAACATCTGCTGCCAATCCTCCTCTTTTTGCTGAGGAAGACTGGCCCTGAGCTAACATCCGTGCCCATCTTCCTCTACTTTATATGTGGGACGCCTGCCTCAGCATGGCTTGCCAAGGGGTGCCATGTCCGCACCCGGGATCTGAACCGGTGAACCCCAGGCAGCCGAAGTGGAACGTGTGCACTTAACCACTGTGCCACCGGGCGGCTCCTCATCATGTTTTGAATGAATGAATGACCTCAGTCTCTGAAGACCCTTTACGCATTCAGCAGTACTACCCTGCAAGGGCAGTCCTCTTTCCTGTAAAAAACGCCCCCAAACATCTGCTCAAATTCACAGCTCCAGACTTAGCAGGAGGGGGGGACTACACTCCCCAGGGGGCAATGCAGTAGACATGTGGCTTAATCCTTCCACACTATCCCACAGCTTCTCCTGAAGACAGAAAGAATTCCACTTTACATGAAGTTCACACTTGCTCATAGAGGAATCATCTCCCAAGACCTGACGGCTGGAGTGTGGGAGTGAACATCCAGGGAAAACACTGCTGACTTTCCCAACTTCATTCCCCAGTCAAAGAGGTCAGTTCCTGGTTTGCCAGTGGTGAGTTTATTACATGATTAAAGTTCAAATAAAAAAATAATAACCAAAATCTTGTCAGGGAGGCTAGAGCCAGAGTCTGGGGGGGCCGCTTCCCTGACCCCAGTCTCCCTGGCCAAGCCTAGTGCCATTAACTCAGCTTGACTCGATCAAATTCCTCATCAAGACTTGCATCTCTGCCCTGGACATCTCTGCTGCTCCCGCTGGAGGCTGAGTCCTGGGCCCCTGGCAGTGGGGCTTTGGTGAGGGCACCATACACACCCATGGCCTGAGGAGAGGGACAGAGAGAGAGGCCATAAGGACATACCGCAGAAGGCATAGCCCAACCCACCAATGGCTAAAAGGAAGGTGGAGCTGGGGCCATTAAGCTTGTTTTTCCTTTCTCTCTCTTTCAAGCCTCAGTCTTCCAAGCTTTGGAGTTGGTTCTAGGAATCTTACAAACTACCAGGGCAGGGTCACCCTCAGAACACTGGTATAGGGATCTGCAAAAAAAGAAAAGGTGTCTCAAGAGCTTCCCTTTCCCCAGGGGTGAGCGGGTGTGTCTCATTCTCTCATTCTTAAGAGACCTTTCTCTAGAAGGAATGAAGGGAAGTCTAGGCCTCAGGGTGAACTGAATCCCTCTATGGGGTGTACGTGGTGATGGTGGTGGTGGGGTCTCAGTCTGCGGCATTGGTGCTCTATGCCAGGTCCTCAGGGCACTCTAACCTGAGCCACCATACTGGTGACATCGCCAGGGTTGGAGGGCAGCAGGATAGTGTTGGAGTCCTTGGCCAGTTTGGAGAATGCGCTGACATACTGCTCAGCCACAGTCAGTGAAGCTGCTGCATCTCCATTCTGTGGCCACAGGAGGGATAAAATCAGAGATCACAGACTTGAGAAGGGGAATGGGGGGAAGTGGAGAGAAGTCAGGTTCCTGAAAAGAGAATATGCAGATCACACTCCAAGAGATCATGTAATCTGGCTCAAAGGAACCTACAAAGGCAGGAGCTTCTCCCAAGGGCAGATGAGAAAACCTCTTCCACTGTCGATTCCTGTCCCCCCACTCCCACCCAGGGGCCTCTCACATGTTGTGTCAGAGCTGCAGCTAGGATGCGAATAGCTTCAGCTTTAGCCTTGGCCTTGGCCAGAACCGCACTGGCCTCTCCTGGAAGAAAAAGACAGAGCTTGACCTATGAGGTCAGGGTACCCCAAAGCTCCTGTCCCAGTACCAACCCTCAAAGACCCATGCCCTGCTCCTCCCTCAGCCTCTACCCTCTGCTGACCTGCTGCTTGATTTATTTGTTCAGCCTTTTCTGCCTCGGAGGCCAGGATTTGTGCCTGCTTCTTCCCCTCTGCCACATTGATGGCTGACTCTCGGGTCCCCTCAGACTCTAGAACTGTGGCCCGTTTCCGTCGCTCTGCCTCCACCTGAAAGCCCCCAGCAACCCCATCAACAAGAAGCCAGAATAAACTCTTACACAGACCTGCAAGTGTACCCATCACAATAGGGAAGGGAGTCCAGGTCCCCATGCAACTGGAGCATCCTGAAGTCCTCTTCCCCATCCCTCCTTGGCCCCCACCTGCATCTGCATGGACTCTTTCACCCGGGGTGGCACATGGATATCCTTTATCTCATAACGGAGGCAGCGGATGCCCCAGTAGTCAGCAGCCTGGTTGATGGCATCCACAATGCTAGCGTTCAGGGACTCCCGCTCCTGGAGGAAGAGAGGTATAAGCTCCATGGCCTCAACCCTCCCAAGAAAGGTCTAAGCTGAGAAGGGCCTGGGACTGATCGTGATCCCTAGAAAGGACTGAGAGTGCCAGGTATGTGTCTTTCAACTCTAACTCTGGCTGAGATCCCCTTACCCGGAAGACTTTGTCCAGAGAGAGTTTTCCAAGCTCTGATCTCATGGTTGTCTGAGCTAGCTGGGTGACAGCATACTCAGGATCCTCCACACCATAGCTTGCCTGAAAGGGGCATGGATAGTGTAAGCTTGGGTGCAGGATTTTAGTAAGGAGAGCAGCTTAGGAACTGAATAAAGCAGGGGACAAATACCTTGTAAGGGTCCATTATGCGCAGGTAAAGGACTCCATCGATTTGCAGAGTTACATTGTCTGCAAGTGCAGGAGCAGGAAAGAAAAGGAGGAAGGTTAGGCCTCCAGATCCGATTTAGGTCTTTCTCCTAAGCTCTGGATCTCCTGCAACCACATCCTAATGGCCTCAGAGCACCAGTGTCACCTTGCACCCTTCACCCCTCACCGAGAGTCACAGCCGACTGTTCAGGCACGTTGATGACAATTTCCTTGAGACTCTGCACATATCGGATCCGGTCTAACACAGGGATGAGGATGTTCAAGCCCTGGGAAGAGGAGTCATGGGTCCTCAGAAGGACAGGGGCTGTAGGGTTGGGATCCAAGCTAAACATGGAGCGGGCAGGGAATCAACATATGGAAGATGCCCAGAAAATCAGAAGGCTGGAGGTGTCACTGATAGGGAAACCCAAGAGGATAGGGATGGGAGGCTGGGTCTGTAAATGAAGTGGAGAGTCAAGGCAATGGGAGCCACCAGAGCAGTCTTCTCCATGCAGACAGGTGAAGCTGAGAGGACGGATAGGGGAGATTCCCAAGAACGGGGCCTGTGGGACACTAGGGCCATAGGAGAAGGTGGTAACAGGTACGACAGTCAGCAGCCTGGGCCTTGCCAGATCTAGCCTGGGGAGTTGGAAGCCAAGGGTGACGGCAGGCCCCAAAGAGGTCCCACCCCATCTCCCCATGTCGTGAGGGAAATGGGCATCACGCTGGTCCGGGATGGGCAGAAGAGGTTCTCACAGGTTCCAGGATCCGGTGGAATCTGCCCATTCGCTCCACCACCCAGGCCTCTTGCTGCGGCACAAACAGTACCACGGTGTTTCGGGGCAATCCGGAGGAGGCGCGGCGCGGGGCGCGGCCAGAAGCCTGCACGGAGCCCTAAGGGGAAGGCGAGGGTTAGCAGAGTCCCCAGCCGGCCCGGCAACCTGCCCCTTTCGGCGCCGGTCCCAGAGGCATCTCCCCAAACCGCGACCGTAAAGGGCCCTCGGAGAGGGACTCACGTGGGTACCACGACCTCTGACCGCAGCTCTCTCCCCAAACTTGAAATCTTGCTCCTTCCCAGCTAAGGACACAGGCGACCGGGGGCCTGACCCTTGGAGAAGGTTGCCTCGTACTCACCCTCAGCAAAAGGGCCCCCGGCCCCCGCGCCGCGCGCGCCAGCATTTCCCAAACCAGCAGCCACCTCCGGAACCAACGAGACGCAGAGCAGAGCGGTCTCTCTAGTAGCCCGGACCTGAGCCTTTCCTCCCGTTTCGCCTCCGCCGGAAGTACTTCCGGCAATCCCTTCCCCCATCCCACGCTCAGCCTGTTCACGTTACTTGGCGGAAGCGGGTATCAAGTTGTTCCTTGGGAAACACAAACCTTCTAGAGAGGGCCCAAAGCTGGGACTTGTTCTGGTTCTCGCTGACCAAGTCCAAGACCCCGGACATGGTGACCAAAATGGAAGCTATTTTCCGCGTGCAGGTGACCCAGAAACACCTCCCACGGAGTTCTTTACCCCTACCCGAGACTGTTTACCCTTCTGAGCGTATAATCGCCCCCATCTGTCACCATAGCGACCGGAGAATTGGAGCTGACTAGTTGCCATGGTTGTCATAGTGACATTCTCTGGTAGTCCTGCTGTGTTGTACCCAGCCCTCCCACTGGGGACTGACCCCATTCTCGTTGCCATGGTGACTGGGCTGGCTTAACGTTGCTCGTGATCAGACTGAGATTTTCCCCCTCCCCTCTTTTCCCAAGGCACCGTGGCCTTTTCTACCTCTTCCCAGTCAGGGTCTAGCAGGCCTGGTCCTCTTGCATACAGAGTCCAGCACACAGCCCCAGCGTTCGGCCTTGTCTGGAGCATGTCACCCTGCACACATCCCTGACGCTCTGGCACATCCTTTCAGAGACTTGCATAGTCATTCTCATTTTACATGTCAGGGCGCTGAAGCTCAGAGGGGCTAAAATCATTAACAATAGAACCCGTATAAGAATCCAGATCCACATTCAGAGAGTTCAGCTTTTATGGCGGAACCTTCCCCACCACCTCACCCCATTATCTGAAAAGAGCAAGACCAGACCCTAACAATCATCAGGGTCTCAGGCCTCAGTTCTCCTCTCTGGGAGACAGGGAGAGTCCCAGCTCCAGTTAGGCCCTCCATCCACATTCCCACGCTCTCCCCAATAGAAAAAGTAGGGCTTAGCTCAAGTTTCCAAACAAGAATTTATTCTTTCTTTTTTTTCTCCTAAAAAAAAGTACCAGGTACAATTTTTTCCTGTTTTTTTTTTTTTTTTTTTTTTTTTTCAAGTTTCAGCAAATGCTTGTTCCCCTTAGCCCAGCGCCACGAGTCAGGGCTAAGGCTGGGTCAGAGTCTGGAGTGGGGAATGGGGTAGTTGAGAACCACATGACTGAGTTTGAGGGGTGCCCCTCACCCCAGCTGAGGTAGGTGGGTCAGAGTCTGGCCAGGTGAAAGGAGGCACCCCAGTCCTTGGCCCTGACTCTGCCCCCTGAACACCTTCCTCAGTCAGGACCCCAAAGCAAGGAAACACAGGCAGGAGGAGAGGGACAACCGGAGTCTGGAGCCCTAGATGAGGGGTGGTTAACCCCCATGTATGCGCATGCATGCACGCCCTCTTTCTCACGCACATACCACACACACACAAGCACGTGCACACATGCACACACACACACATACATATAAGTTGGCTTTCAGAGAGGGGTCAGAGAGTAAGTGAAGTGAAAGGAATAGGGAAGGACAAAGGAAGCTGAGTCTTTGGCTAGTGACTCAGTCCTTCTGCCCTCAGCTGAGGGAGAGCAGTTCTCCCCCAGCCCCTACATCAGCCTTTTCAACTCCTGAGGTTGGAGCAATATCTGAGAGTGAGAAAGGAGGAGGGGCAATGCCAATTATCATGTTTGGGAGGTTACCAAGGCAATCCAATTTGAATAAATTATAAATTAAAAATAAATAAAATAATAAGTGGCCCCTGCCCAGGACAGGAAGGCAATGCTGGCACAACTTGCCTAGGAACTTGGGACAACCTCAGGGTAGCTCCAGTTCCTGCCCGCTACCTAAGCTGGCCTGGGAAATTCAAGGGAGGGGGCAGGCACATGGAGTACCCAGAGTAGGGCAGCGTGTGGTAAGGATCAGAAGCTTTAAACGCCCAAATAATCAGTTTGGGCATGAGCATGGCGAGTGGTTTAATTCAAGCCTGGAGGGTCTCTCGCCACCTCTCCGCATGTTTGCTCTGTCCAAGATGGGGTAGGATGGGCAGGTGCTTGGCCCACATGGGTTCAGGGCACTGACAGTCATGGCAAAGGTGAATAACGTGGATTGTGAGGGGCCTCGGTCACAGCCTGTAGTTCGTAGGGGAGCCCTGTGTCCAGTTCCAGGCTCCGGCGGGAAAAAAGCAGGCGGATGTCTCCATGCAGGCTTAAGCGGCCTGAGCGGGAGCTCCGGAACCTGGGGGAGGGCAGGGTGATCAAAGTAAGAATCTAAACAGTAGAGAAGCAAGAAGAGATCCTATTCAGGGAAGGGATATCTGAGTTGGAGAAAGGATACCTAGGCCTCCCCAGCTGCCCCTGGGCCCTGTCCTCACCTGAGGTGCAGCAAGTAGCAGAGGAGGCGGCGGGTGGGGCTAGCATTTCCCTCCTCACCCACAGGCACCAAAAAGAGGCGATGGCGCAGGAAGGTCACATGGCCAGCAGGCATGTCCGAGAAGTCAAAGGTCACAAGGAACATCTTCACCACAGTCTGGTTGGGGTTAAATAAGGTCTAGGGGCAGGACAGACAAGGTTGGTAGGGCCTAGGGGCTGTCTTCCTCCCCCTCTTCCCACCTGCCCTCGGGGAGAACTCACCACTTGGATGGTGCCCACCTTGGGCACGCTGTAACCCTTCCTCCCCAGGGGGAGCAGGTCCACGACACCCTGGGAAGGCCATAGAGCCGTCAGCCAAGGTGGGGTCTGGGAGAGCCCTGAATACTCACCATCTCTACAATCTTTCACTCCAAGACCTGGCCCCTGCCCCACACTAGAGTTCCCCTCACCTGGCCCTGCCTCCTTCCTAGGGGAGAACACCTAAAGAATGCCTCCTGCCCCCATCCCTCATCCTCACAAGTGAACTGCAGGTTGAGGTCAAGTCATACCAGGAAGGGGGCCGGGGCATTTTGCTCAGAAACATTAAAGAAGGTGACAGTGACAGGCAGCGTGACATGCCGGGGGCAGTAGGATCCACTAGCTCCAATCTCTGCCGTGAAGCCCTCGATGTGGCCAGATGGTGCAAAGCGTCCTTGCAGCAATGATTCCTAGGGTTTGGGGAAAACATATTATGAGAGCGATGCCAGCTATTTCCCTTATCCCTCCAGGCCACACTCCGCCACCCCACTCTCCCCAGAACCCCATCACAGAATCTGAGGGGAACTACCTCAAAGTTGCCCAACAGAGTACGGCTGACGGCAGGGGTAGGAACAGGGGAGGCACTGGGGGGGCTCAGCAAGCCTGGCCCCTTCCGGAGGCTTCGAAGGGAGCTCCTGGTAGAGGAGGGGACACAAAGTAGTTGGCTTGAGGTATTCTGGGATGCTTGCTTATGTCCCTGGGCCCCACCGTTTGCCACTACCTAGGGCTCCTGCCCTGGGGTCCCCTACCCTGGGGCTGGAGAGGGGATTACTACAGACTTCTGCCCCATTTTCAGGAACAGGGCACAGGGAGAAGCCGGTCACTTACAGCTTCAGGCGACAGGCACCTTTCAGCCTCCGCCCCGTGGGACTGCAGTCTGTTGGGTCCTTTGGAGAGGAAAGAGATTGGGTGGAGGCCAGATATGTTTGGGAGCAGGGGCTCATCACAAGTTCTCATAGGAACATTCCCCCCAGGCCTTCACCTCTTCCCCTACAGATATACACTTAAGAGAAGACCACCTCCCCTTCTGGCTTACCAGCACAGGCTCCTTGGGTCCAGGCAGCAGGTGGCTCCAGAAGGGTGTGGCTTTGGCATCAGAACTGTTGGCAGCAGGAGGGTGGCCCAGGGTTCCCCGGCGCCTCCGAGGGGCTGGCCCCTCATCCTCAGAGCTGACATCCAGGGCTTCTTCAGCAGGAAGCAGCCTTCGCTTGGTGGGACAGAGGCCTGGAGGTCCAGGGCCAGGGGGTGTGTGCTCGGGACTGTGCCCATTGGCAGTGCCAGGGGACTCCCTAGGCCAGGGGCTGCCCCCATTGCCCACCCCAGCCACTGGGCTCTTATCCCCTATTTGTGCAAGACTGTGCAAATCAGTGTCAAGTGTGAGCAGCTGGCCCGGAGGGGCTGGCCCTGGGGACTCCCCCAGGGACACCTGTCCCCCTGGATCTGGGGAAGCCCAGTCTCTGGTGTGCAAAGTATTGCAGGAAGCATTTGATGGGTGCCAGCAGGGACTCCGGGCCCCTGAAGTCCAAGGTGAGGTGGAGCTACCTCCCTGTTCCACAACACAGAGGCCATGATGGCAGAAATGCTGGCTGGCCACACCCAGTCCCAGCCCCAGTCCCTCTGGGCCCAATAGTCCCCTGGTATATGGTTCTTCAGGGGGTAATCCCTCTCTGGCCCCCAGCCCAGGGCCTCTCTTCAGCTCCCGGGGACCCTCAGTGGGCGGGGCCGGCCGTTTCAGGGCCCTATGAGGCTCAGAGGCACCAGCTGGAGAGGAAAAGATGGATACCTGGTAGACCCCGGGGGATGTTGCCCCCCCTGCTGGGCTGTAGCCCATGAGCAAGCCACCCTGGAGGGCCCCCTGCCTGACTGCAGGCTGCGAAGGACCAGCCTCTGGCTCTGAGGATGGAGACAGCTCCGCCTGCACGTGGCGCATGAAGCCCCCCTTGGGTCAGGGGGGTCCCCCCCCACAGCCTTTATGATGGGCCTGGGCTGGGGGGCCTGGGGACATCTGTGCAAGAGAAGAGAAGAAAAGGTGGTCAGAGGAATCAATGAGTCTTCTCCCTCCCAGTTGACTTTCAGATCCTCCCCTGGCCTGAAGAGGTGACCTTGTGGGGTTCCTGGAGGTGAAGGTATCCAAATCCCCAGATGGATTAATGGAATATAGAGACTATGCCCAGAACTTCCAAGAGGGTGACATATTTAGTTTAGCTTCTTCCTGGACCTGCTCCCCCTCCCTCTCCCTGGCACTCACCCCGATGAAGAGGCCTTAAGCCCAGCTGTGTGTTCCCTCTTCCTGACTGATGACTTCCTCTCCTAGCATGCAGTCTGGTCCATACCCACTGCACTGGCAAGGTGACTGCCACCATTCCGTGCAGCTCCTGGGCTCAGCTGGACCCTGGGGAGAGAACAGACATAAGCCAGGATCCCTGGAGACAGTAGTAAGGCTCCTCTTCAATGGTGGGCTAAGAGAGCACCCCTAGGCCATCCCCCTCCCATGAGGAACTCTTCAGAAACAGAAGGGGCCGTCTTGGGACCCACGGCCCAGAAGGCAGAGCTAAGGAGTCGCAGAGAGGCAGGTCTTGGCTCAATGTAAAAAGGATGTGAGAAGCATGTTGAGGTAGGATGATAACTTGTCAGGGCCACCACCTGGGGGACTCTTGCCCTGAAGAGGAGGGGGGATGAGATATCCCAAGACCCAAGAGGCCATGCCACCTGAGAGGTGGCGAGGACAAGAATTCAGCCCTCCTAGTCAAGGCCATCAAGTTGCACAATTCCTTCCCAAATGGACAAGTGCCACCCCAGAGCCCTAAGGGCAAGAGGTCTTATGGAAACTCACACCCCATCAGCACTCCTTAGAGGTATAAACCTCAGGTCAGCTCAGAGTGGGCCCTTCAGCCTTAAACTCCTAATTGCCCCCAGCAGTCTGTCCCTTAACAGGAGGCAACAAATCTAACCAAAAACAAGGCTGGTGGGGAGGAGGCACTGCCAGAAGGCACTTTCCAGCACCTACCCCTCCCCCTAGGCCCTGCAAACCAGAGATAAGGCAGTGGCCACTCAGAGAGCTGGAAGCAACTAGGAGTACCTCTCCACCCCTCCCAAAACATCCAACACCCAAAAACCCAAACCACTGCTTTTCTGCCAGGACACAAGATGGTCTTCACTGAGCAGTCCACCCTCAGGAGCCAATACTGGGTGAGGGGAATTGAAGTTGAAGTTAAATTGAAGGCCATCTTCCATCATGGGAGGAAATACTGGCCCCAGGATCAAGCTTCTCCTTTGGGCAGTAGCCTGTGCTGCCTGCCATTCACAATACCCTTTCCCCTTCAAGGAATGCCCCCTGTATGCCCACCCAGCCCTACCCTTCCTCCTTGGCCAGGCCAAGAGTCTTCCCTTCCAGAAAGCCTACTCTGACCACTCCAGACCACAGATATTTCTCTCTCCTCTGAGACCTCACCTATGGCAGTGTCACTGTCTCCCGTAACCCAGTGACAGTTTTGCTTGCTTCTGTGGGTAAGACATCTGCTAGACTGACCATAGGGTTCTTGAGAGTAGGTCTGTGCTCCACTCCTCTGCCCAACTCCAAGCACAGCGGTAAGCACTTAGCAGGGCTCAAAAAAGTGGAATGCAAGTCCCAGAGATCTGGGCAGCAGTCCTGACAATGCAGAGAAAAATCCCCAGAATGAGAGAAGCAGAGAGACTAGTTGTATAGGGAGAATCAGCAGCAACAGAGGTGGGGGTAGGAGGCAGGCAGAAAGGGGAGATTTGCACCCAGGACTGAAAATCTCTCCTTCACCAAGTTCTCATCATTGTATCTCACATTATCCTATTTCACCAAGTTCACATTAGAACTGGGATCCCTAAGAAAATTCTGGTTCCCTGTGGTGGGTGGGGTGTCTGGAAATGGCAGAACACCAATGACAGTGTTGTCAGAGGACACAACCTGTACTGGTTTCTACCCCTCCTTACCTATATGCAAGCCATACAGATTCAGGAAGGGCCTTGTCCTTAGCACTCCTACCTCCAGGTCATCCCAGATGGCCTCTTGAGCCCTTGCCCTAGGGAATCCAGGTGACGACATGATGCCCTACTTGACCCCAGCATGCCTGGCATCTGCTCATTACCCTAGAGCCCTCTCAGTTCCCACCCTGTCAATGAGAAGCTCTAAGACTCACTTCCTGCCACCCAGCCAGTCTGGCTCTAGACCATGGCTCCAAGCTGACTCATGGGGCAGGACTGTGGGGGGGGGGGGGGGGGGGGGGGGGGGCAGAGGAGACCAAACCTCACTCTCTGTGCAGGGGGTAGGCAGCAGCTGGCATCAAATAGCTGTGCCAGGCTGTGGCTGGCAAGGACTACAGCTCCCAACATGCCAAGGGAGCAAGGCCAGCAAAAACAACAAGTCCCAGAATACCATGAGGTCTGTCCCCTCAGACACCTGCTAGGCCTGGGAGGTGGGGTAGGCGGATGTCGGTATAGGTAGAAGCTCCCAGGCTCACTCTCCCCTTCCCTTCAGTATTAAAGGTATCTATTTCTACCCTGATCAAGGAGGGTGGCGGGAAGGAGATTTCCTCTTCATGTGCTTTCCACCTTCATTCTGTACAGAGAGAACTGCTGCTAGCTGCTCTACATTTTGTCCCTGCACACGTCTGCACAAGCTGGGGGGCTATTCCCATGGACCACTACTGTGGGTGGGAAGGTCAACCTCTGCTCTCTCACCAATCCCTTGGCTGTTGGCCCAGAGCCCTCCACCTTCAGCGGAGAGGGAGCAGATCTCAGTACCCCCTCCAAAGTGAGCCTGGCGGACTCACCTGGCTCCTGGACTCCTTGTTCTGGAGGAAACCTCACCCCTGCTTAGCCGCCCCACCCCCGCCCCCATCCTTTCTCACCCCCCTCCTCCCCACAGCCTGGGACAGGCCCCACTGCCTACTGGAGCTTCGGAGACTTGCTCTTTTCACGTAGCACACACTCACCCCGCTCCCAAATTGGCTCCGCCAGGCAGCCGCTGCTCCGGGCCCTTCTGTCCAGTCCCGGTCCCTCCCCTGGAATCTCCGGTCCTCCCCACCACGGCCCCCAACTCAGACAAAGGGTGGCTCGGGCTGAGCCCTGCTCTGCTAGGCTCTTCTCTGTTTAGCTTCGTGTGCAACGCTAGCGGGCCCTGGCGCCCGCAGCCCCCCAGCCGCTGCCGCGCCCCTCCCCGCGACCGTCCCTCCCCATGGCCGCCCCGGCTCCGCGCTGCCGACTCCGCTGCCCCTCTGACTCACAGGCCATTTCCTACCAGCTGATGGGGCTGCCCGCCCCGCCCAGCGCCCCAACACCCCCGCCGGCCGCCAAGGCCGCCACGCCCCCCTCGGACCACGCCCTCCATGAGCAGCGACCAGGCTCATTGGCCCATAGGAGGCCAGCCTCCCCACGACCTCAACTGTGAGGCACTCCCCCTCCAAGAGACGCACGCCCATTGGTCCATAAGGGGGCAGGACTACCTGGGTCGCCCCGCCCATCTTCTTAACCCCTCATCTGCCCAGAGTCCAAAGCAGCTGTCTACCTTGCCATTTAACCCTTTCAAAGAGGTAGGCCTCCGACTTCTCACCCCTGCCCTTCCTCTTCGGAGGTTGGTTAATAGGACGCCCTGGGGCTTTTTTAGGCACAGTTCGACAATCTCCAAAGTCAGCCTGAAGAGTCTCGCAGCAGACCCCAAATATTCCCACTCCCATTCATCTCTCCCAAACCTGCAAACTAGAACTCCAGAGACCAGAGGACTGGTGAAGCCCATGAAGCTGCCTTCATGCCAGAGCAGATGAAAAAGTCCTGAAGTGGGATCTTATCTCCTTCCATGGAGAAATGGTATTCTTCCTTCTCTTATTCGGCACTGATGTTCTTTTGCCCTCCTCAGAGGGGCCCCAAGGGCTCCTGAGATAGGGATACATTTTAATTCAGGGACCTAAACATCATTCTTTGTGTCTCTGAACTCCTATTCTGAGATCTGGCTGCTTCATCCCTTCCACCAGTACTCTTTCTATTCATAGGCCCCTCCCTGTTCAAGAGAGCACCCAGGAGAAGCAGAATAGGAAGCCTTCTGCCCAGAGTGGGGGAACTATGCCCAATTCTTGTCATGGAGCTCACCCTCATGACTCACAGCTCCCTCGAAACTCCCCACCCTCCCCCTGAGTCACTGTGCCCTAGGCCTAGTCCAGACCCAGCCAAATTAAGTGGCAGCAGAACCAGCATTCCCAATTCTTTATTTTATTTTTTAATTTTTTAATTTTCTTTTTTTTTTTTTTTTTTTTTGAGGAAGGCTAGCCCTGAGCTAACATCTGCCACGAATTCTCCTCTTTTTGCTGAGGAAGATTGGCTCTGAGCTAACATCTGTGCCCATCTTCCTCTACTTTTTATGTGAGATGCCTGTCACAGCATAGCTGTGCAGACGTAGGTCCGCACCCGGGATGTGAATGGGCGAACCCTAGGCTGCCAAAGCAGGACATGCAAACTTAACCATTTACACCACTGGGCTGGCCCCAGCATTCCTAATTCTTGTCCTCCTATTCTTTAAATGACCAGGATAGAAACTTTTGCAAGGATTAGGCATTAAAAGATACTTTTTAGAGGGGCTGCTTTGGGGCAAGTTAAGAAAATAGATGGCCCTGTCTACCTTTCCCTCTGGACTTGGCAAGTCAGATAGTTTGGAATTTAAGAGCCTTTTTCTCCCAGTCTTCCACAGAAGCAGGAGACAAACACCAGAACCAAAAGAAGGAAGACGCAAATTGGCATCAGCCAGGGCAGGCTCTCTGGTTGTGCCTCCAGAAGTGGGAAAGTCCATTCTTCTATGGTGCAGAGGTCACAGAAGGCCCAAGGTTTCTACTTTGCCTGTGCTGTAGGCCCCAAGGGCTCTGAGGTTGTCACTGGACAGTAAAAAGAGGCTCCCCTCCCCCTACTTCCTCCTTGTGCCCTAGACTTAGGAAGGACAAGCAAGTAACAGTTCTTCCAGGCTCCCTTCTCCTCACCTCAGACCAGGGAGAAAACCCTGAAAAAGAACCCAGTTGCCATGGACTGACTTTCTTGCTGGTTCCCTAATGCTAAGGAACAGGATTAGGAAGTTTTCAACACCCTGAACAAATTGCAGAGTATGAATGTAAGAGCCTATTTGCCTTACTGGGAAGACAGGTAGACACAGAACACCATAGAAATGAATAATCACTCGGCAACCCTACCTTGTTCTTCCTATTGACATGACCATAGGCCCAGGCCTTAGTTACCTGCAAAGGTCAGGCGGCAATAGCTCAGGTAGAAGCATCAAGGATGTTCTAAGCCTCAGTGTGCCCTGGGAAAGCAGCTTGGTACAATCAAGAGGCCTCACCAACCTGCCCTAAACTCACCCTGCTTTATTTTTCTCATAGCAGTTATCACCACCTAACACCTCTGTCTCTTTCTCTCTCTCTCTTTCACACACCCTCTCACCCACACATTGCTTTCTCCCCCTATCAGAATGGAAGCTCTATGAGAGCAGCAACTACCTCTGTTTTATTCATGCTGGTGTTCCCAGAATCAACATCAGTGCCTGGCCCATAATAGATGCTCAACAAACATTGGCTGAAAGAAAGAATGAGCCCTGGGCTGAGTGAATAGCACTTAGGAGGGCTGGGTCCTAACTCTTTCACAGAGACCTGGAGAAAAATCACAGTCTCTTTGGCCATAAATTTCCAAATCTGTAAAATGAAGGGTCTGTATAAATGATGACCACTGAGGGCCTCTATGACTCTGGCTTTATAATGCATAATTCTAATGGCAATTGCTCACTCACACCATTTTGAGAAGATGGATCCAAGCGTCTGAATGCCTTGCTGCTCCATACTGAAGAAGAAAGGCTACATACCCCAGCCTCAGCACAGCACAGCACACTGATGTCCTTTCTCTTCATGCCCCACCCACTCACACAAATGCCTCAGCCCTGAGGAAGCTGGAGTGAGTCTGCCCTAGGCCCGCCTCTCTGAGAGACAGTCTGGGAAGCTGTGTTGCCATAGCAATCAGCTCCTCCTCAAAAGCCTTCAGCCTGCTCTCTCTTACCCCACCCTTTGTCTGGCCTCAGCACCCCCTCCCTCCCCAGCCAGTCTCTCAGCTAGAGAAGGCTGGCTTGGGGCCCCCTTCAGCAGCACTGTCACACTCATTCAGCCACTGCATGGAAGGCAGTCCTTTCTCACATCTCCCAGCCAGCCCAGGGGCAAAAAGAACCCTGGCATACATCAAGTCCCCTCAGGGAACCAGAGGAGCCTCCAGGAGGACTAGGCCCTACTCTCAGTGCTGGCAGTCAGCTTCCAAGCCAGGAGCATGGGGAGCCATTCCCTCGTCCTCCCCCAGCTGAGGCTGGAACCTCACATTCCTTCCCGAGTTCAGCCTACAATAGTGGTGCACCTCTCAAAACATACATTAAAGACCCTCAATAGTTCCCACCATTTTCCCTTTCCGTTGAAGGCCAGAATTTTTGAGGTACCTAGGGTTCCCCACCCAGGAGAAGGAAAAGGGTGAGGAAAATAAGTTTGTGGCAAGTGGTAAAATTGTGCCTACCAGCCACTTAGGGGGCTGTTGGGAGAGACCCTCTTAGTACTATGGGTGGGGTCTGGGCTTTGCTGCTGGTTACCAGGGTCTCTGGCCAATGAGTACAAAGTCCCAGGCAAGGCACAGCTCCCAGACAGGCAAGGACCAGGCCAGGCCCCAGGGTGAGGAAGGAAGTGGGAAATGAGCACACCCAGAGCATAAGGGCAGGGCAAAGTGGGGGAGGGGGAAGACAGGGACCATGGCAGGCTTCTGGGAGGAACAGGAACTAGAGTAGGGGGTTAACAGGAACCCAATGGGGAAAGGGTCCCCAGAGACATCAGCTGAGGAAAGAAACCCTAGTCTCAGCCAGACAGATGCAAAGCAGACTGACAGTCACACAAGCCCTTGTGGCAAGCAGGGCCTGGATCCTCTCTAAGAGTGCTCAGGCCTGAAGGTGGAGTTAGGACCTCAGGAGCCAGGAGCACTACAGACTGGCTTCTTCACCCCGTGAATTCCATCACACTTACACCTAGAACACAGTACACAAACATATTCCTGGAGTCTCCACAATGGCCCTAGACTATCTCAAAGCACTAGGGATTCTTCCCGCCTCACCTGGGGCCTACAATCCCCTTCCCTCACACAGTGCCCAAAGGCCCATCCCTTCTTTCTCCACACAGTCCCTCGGTCCCTCCCACACTCTGGACCACCAGCCCTGCTCCATCACACAGCACCCTCTTCCCCTAAAGCGCCTTCAGATCCGCCCCTTCAAGTATCGCTTCCAATCCTCCACATCACACAGCACCTCGCCCGCTCACATTGTACCTCCCACCCCAACAAAACACTTCCGCCCCTCCCCCACAAGGGCCCCTGGAGAAGGCACCTCCTTGCCCACACATTGAGCCCCCAACCCCTCCCCCAACTCTGTGTCTTCCTCTCCCCCAGCAGTCTCCAGATCCTCTTCTTGCCTAATGTGGCCCCCACCTCCTCATGTCTGCCCTAGCGCACCCCCGTCCTCGGCCGTTCTTCCATACGCGCCCCGCCCCACACCTGTAGTTCCTTGAGTCCCGTTGCACCTGGGGAGGTAGTGGATGGGGGCACTTACTGAGCGGCCTTGCTGGAGCCTGGGCCTGCAAACCTCGCCCCTCGGGCCCGAGCCCCGCCCCCGCAACGCCCAGGCCCACCCTCTCCCTTGTACCACCTCCCACCTTCCCAGGGCTCGTCCCCTTTCCTAGTTTCTTCAATTCCTCGGGCTCCTCCCCCGTGACCCAGGCCCCGCCCCCTGTCCCCGCCCCCTGTTCCCGCCCCCTCTGGTCCACCCAGCCTCTCCGGGAACCTCGGCTTGTCCCTGGCCCCACCTTGACCCCGCCCCCTGTGGTCTCCACCCCCTTTCGCTAGGGTCCGCCCTCGGATTCCAGCCCGGCAGAACCCCGCCAGGCCCCCTCCCCCGAGCCCGCTCGGGTCTCGGAGCCTCTCCACCCCGCCCCTTCTCCTGCTCCCTCACCCGGGCGCTCGCGCTGCAGCCCAGGTCCGCTGGCTCTGACTGCCCGCGGCTGCCCCAATGGACGGCGGAGACAAAGTGATGGCTGCAGGTCGCCAGAGGTCCCACCCCGGCCACGTGCGGCTTCTGTGATGACAGGTCTGGAGGGGCGGGGCCTCGGCCTACCGGATCCCGCGGGGGCTGGGAAGCCGGCGCCGCGGCCCGAGGGCTAGCCCGCGGGCTCCGAGCTTGGCCGGCGCGCCGCAGGCTGGCGCGGGTGCGAGCTGCCGCGGAGCTCAGCCCCTCTGGGGACGCCGGGTTAGCGCGCACTTGCCCTAGCGAGGGAGGTCTCTGGGGTTTGCCGATGGTGATGGGATCTCAGAATCTGAAATGGGCAGTCTGGCGGACGGGTCTCCAGGCTGTGAGGCTGTGGGCGGTTTCTGCAGCCTGCGCTGTGCAGGGAGTCCGAGTTCTGAGAGACCGGCGGGCAGGGTGGGATTGTGGCCCTGGGGGTGGGTGAGCTGGGAAGTCTGTGTGTTCTACCAGCCTACGTGCTAATAGGAGTCACGAGAGCCTGCAGTCGCCGGAGAAAGGTAGAGACTTTGCTTTGCACGAGCATCGAGGGAACTGTGTGACAGTTGCTTGAGTTCTGTAACTTGTTTAGCGCTTAAGTCCCCTCTCCACCCTCCCCCGCCCCACGGGTTTCCGAGGCACAGCGGGAAGAGCGACGCTTACCAGCTACCGGTAGGTGGCAGCACAGGACTCTTGCAGGACCTATCGGGCCTCTCCGTGGAGCGGGCGGTGCAGACCGGTATAGGGTGGGTGGGACCTGATAAAAGTTCTCTGAAAGTCTCAGATTCTTTAGGTCTCTGATTTTCTTTCTGTGAGTAGTTAACTTAAGCTGGCTTTCTCAACGCCAGTGGTGTACTAGGCGCAAAGAAAAAAATTTTCTCTGCCTTTCAGGGACTTGTTACGTTGGCATACAAATGCTTGTATAATCCTAGAGAGAGTAAAGTTGGGAGGGTTTTGCGTGGTGGAAAAAGCACAGGGTTTGTAGTAATTTGCGTTGGTCTCTGAACTTTGGGTACTGGGTATTTACTAACTTTATGAATTTGGGTAAATTACTTGACTTATTTAAAAACAAACTTTTAATTTTAGAAGAATTTTGGATTTAGAGATAATTTGTGAAGATAATAGAGTTGCCGTAAACCCGACAGCTAATTCCCCGTTATTATCTTACATTAGTATGGTTCATTTGTTATAATTAATTAGCCAATACTGATATCATTAACTAAAGTCCATACTTTAAACTACTTTCTTAGTTTTTGCCTTATGTTCTTTTCCTGTTCCAGAATCCCATCCAGGATAGCACATTACATTTAATTGTCATGTCTCCTTAAGCTCCTCTTGGCTGTGACAGTTTCTCAGGCTTCCTTGTTTTTTTAAAAATTTTTTAAATATTATTTTTTTAAGATTTTTTATTTTTCCTTTTTCTCCCCAAAGCCCCGGGGTAAATAGTTGCACATTTTTTAGTTGTGGGTCCTTCTGATGCGGGGTCGGTGAGCCGAGGAGTCAAAAGAAAGATTTCTTAGACTCTCAAGATCTGGCAGTAGTGCTCTTTTATTTAGAGAATAGTGTGGAATAGCATGGGGACAGGACCCATGGGCAGTCAGAGCTTCTGCTGCCGCCACTTCTGCTGCCCCCGCTGGCATGGGGACAGGGCCCATGGGCAGGCAGAGCTGGTGCGTGGGGACAGGACCCACGGGTGGTCAGAGCTCCTGCTGCTGCCGCTTCTGCTGCCCCCACTGGCATGGGGACAGGGCCCATGGGCAGGCAGAGCTGGTGCGTGGGGACAAGACCCATGGGCAGTCAGAGCTCCTGCTGCTGCCCCGAGTTGAGGGTTAGGGATAATTTTATAAGGCATGGGTACGTGACTTATTTTTACTGGAGAAAAGAAAAGATGATGTAAAAAGTCATTAAATGATTTCAGTGCAGATGGAGTCTGGTTATTGTGCGGTCATATAACTTTAGATACGAATCTGGCCATATAGATCGGCATGTAGGTGAGGATGCCCTGGGCTTCTCTCCCTGGGGCAGCCCTAATTCATACCATAAAAAAAGTCCACTGGGTCGTATAGTTTGGCATGTAGGCCAGGTCACCTTGGGCTTCTCTAGCTGGGGCAGCCTTAATCCACATCACTTCTAGTTGTGGCATGTGGGATGCCGCCTCATCATGGCTTGATGAGTGGTACCATGTCTGCCCAGGATCCGACCCAGCGAAACCCTGGGCTGCCAAAGTGGAGCGCCAAACTTAACCCTTCCACCATGGGGCGGCCCCCAGGCTTCCTTGTTTTTGATGACCTTGACAGTTTTAAGGAGTATTGGTCAGGTATTTTGTAAAAGGTCTTTCAGTTGGGATTTGTGTGATGTTTTTCTCATGATTACGTTGGGATTATGGGTTTTGAGGAGGAAGACCCCAGAGGTAAAGTGCCAGTTTCATCACATCATATCATTCTATGTGTGTGTGTATGTTTACATATACAATATTGGCATTATACTGTGTAATTCGTATTATAATCTTTTTTTTAATTCTTTTTATTTATTTTTTTTTTGAGGAAGATTAACCCTAAGCTAACTGCTGGCCATCTTCCTCTTTTTTCTGAGGAAGACTGGCCCTGAGCTAACATCCATGCCCATCTTCCTCTACTTTGTATGTGGGATGCCTACCACAGCATGGCTTGTCACGCGGTGCTGTGTCCGCACCCAGATCCAAACCAGCAAAACTCAGGCCGCTGAACCGGAATGTGCGCACTTAACTGCAGCACCATCAGGCCAGCCCCTATAATCTTTTTTTTTTCTTAAAGTTAATGGCTCCTAAACTTCTCTGAGTCTTTATTCTTCTACGAGATTTTAAAAATTTCTTTATGAAATATTTTAGGCATACAGGAAGTTATAAAGAATACTGTAACAAACACTCACATTCTCACACAGCTTTATGAAATCTTAATATTTTCCCACATTGGCTTCAAATTCTCTTTTAAGGAAATTCATATTTCAGATAAATTTGAGCTTTTATATACTCCTTCCTAATCTCATTCTTTTCTTTCCCTTGTTCTTCATCTCTGCATTTTTAAAAATAAATTTATTGACTCATATATATGTATTTCCAATGGGTGTATACCTCGGAGTAGACCTGCCGAGTCGGAGGGCATGTATATGTTCAGCTTTAGTAGATATTGCCAATATTTTTTCTGAAGGGATTGTAACAATTCACATTCCCACAACCATATATGAGAGGTTGAGTTTCTCCACATCCTTGCCAACTCTTGATACTGTCAGTCTTTTTAATTTCAGCTATTCTAGTGTATATGTAATGTATCTCATTGTGGCTTTAGTTTGCATTTTCCTGATATCTAGTAAAGTTGAGCATCTTTTCATATGTCTATTGGTTATCTTCTTTTGTGACTTCCCTGATCAAGTCCTTGGCCTATTTTTCTATTTGGTTGTCTGTCTTTTTTTTTTTTTTGTATCTTTTTGTAGGGGCTCTTTGTATATTCTGGATATGATTCTTTTGTTAGAGAAATCAATTGCAAATATCTTTTCCCACTCTGTAGCTTGCCTTTTTATTCTCTAAGTGATGTCTTTCAATGAACAGAAGTTCTTAACTTTAATACAATCAAATTTATCTGTTTGTTAATGCATTTTATGCTCTGTTTAAGAAATCTTTGCCTAACCCCAAGGTAATGAATATATTCTCTTATGCTATTGTCTAGAAGCTTTATTTTACCTTTTATAAATCATAGTGTGAGGTAGGAGTCAAGATTCACTTTTTTCCCACATGGTTATCCAATTGATCCAGCACTTTTTGTTGAAATCAGAGTACAATTTCCAAAAAGTTAAAAGCGAGATTCTTATAAGAATATAGAATGAATACATGTCAAAGATTTATTTAACTCATTAATGAAGGAATAAGGAGGATGGTAAAGCATGTTCAATGATCATTTGAGGAAATTAGGTATTGTATTAGTCAGGGGTCTGTGGGGGGACATGTATATAGAGATAGAGAGATTTTATTATGTGGAGTTGGCTCACAGGATTATGGAGGCTGACAAGTCCTACAATCGGTAGCTGGTAAGCTGGAGACCCAGAAGAGCTAATGGTGTAGTTCCAGTCCCAGTGTGAAGGCCTGAGAACCGAGAGAGCTGACAATGTAGTTCCGGTCTGAAAGCCAGCAGGCGCGAGACCCAGGAAGAGCTGATGTTTCAGTTCAAGTCCAAAGGCAGGAAAGAAGACCAATCTCCTAGCTCAAAGGCAGTCAGTCAGAGAGAAATTCTCTCTTACTCAGCCTTTTTGTCCTATTCAGGCCTTCAACTGGTTGGATGAGACCCACTCACATTAGGGAGGGCAGTCTGCTTTACTCAGTCTGCTTATTCAAATGTTGATCTCATCCAGAAACATCCTTACAGACAGACCCACGATAATGTTTGACCAAATGTTTGAGCATCCTGTGGCCTGGTCAAGTTGACACAT